TTTTTATGATCGCTGAGGTGATTAATGACAGCACAGAAGATGAAAATGCTGTGTTATACAAAAAACAGCATAAACGGATACGAAGATGAAAGTTTTCCGTAATTTGTCCCCACTCTGTATATCTCAACGTGGTTCTTCAGAACAGTTATTCTCGCTGTCCTTTTCATATGCTTATGTTCCAATGTGAAATATTAGTACTGTTCAGATGTCATTTTCACTTTCCTTCCGAGATTAGGTGAGAAAGGAATGGCTGAAATGTAATATTTGCATTGCAGGCAGTCACGCCATATGGTTCGAAAACATTCCGGAATTTGATTGTAACCAATGGTGTGAAAGCACCGCGGCGTTTGGTGCTGGCCTGTCACTATGATTCGAAGATTCTGCCAGGGTTGGTGATTGCTATTGAATAATCACATATACTTATATTCTCGGAGATCACTTACTTGAGGATTATTTCGAATGCCGCTTAAATTTCTTATCTTAAAAAGGTGGCAAGGCACTTGTACAAGGAATGATGTTATTTTTCACCGTAGCCGAGCGGACGTGTTGGGGGTCGTTTTGTGTGATTTCGGTGGCAGCGGTTGTCTCTGGCCAATCAGGTCCCATTCTTGGGTGGAATGTAATTTCTTTAAAGGACGAATTCACGCTGGAAAGGCAACCCATTTCAAATTAACCAGGGATGGTGAGTGGTACACGAAAGAAGGAAGAACCATGAGAAACGGCCCAGAACCCGAGAAATGGGACCCCTTCCTTGCCCGTTGATTTGAGCATTGATGCGACTCTCATCGCTGTGCCCTCTTCAACACTACGCTCTCTCTGCTATCTAATCACTCGCCACGTATAGACTGCGGCGAGTGATCAGATGGTCGGTGGGCGGAGATCGCCGGACCCGCCAACTTTGAGGCATGATAGGTCGCCGAGGTCAAATTTTTCGATGCGAATTGCGCCTCAGGAGGTCCGTGGGTCCTCAACTAGGTAAATTACTTCTTCCTCGACCTCCATTCTAATCGTGAATTCCTCCTTTAAAAGTCAGATATAATATTTTGCGAGATACAAAGAAAGTATGGAACGGTCATTTTGCCTATGGCGTACATCAGCAAACTTCTCGTCACTGAGGTGCCCCATGGATGGGAGCTTAACGTGAAATCATCCTTAGATGCCCTGTTCACCACCAGCAGGAGCAGGCCCTCTTTCACTCTTCTCGTCGTCTTCAGAATATGACGTCATTCCATCGCGGTTGCGTTCAAGGAGACGTACCGCAATCGCTCCAGCCTAAAGTTGCCCAATAATTTTTTTTGATGGATTGGCTGATCGATAGCTTGCCAGATCTAGTAGCTCTGAATGTGCAAGACTTCCTCCGGTCATTGTTTCACATAACTTCTCAATTTCCCACTATCCGTCGAGGACATTGAGCTCGAACCCTGTACCATGTTTCCGCGGCAGATTCTTTTGTTATCGTCGCATAGAAAGCTATTATAAAGTTTTTTGATACAGTGGACTTTGCTCTTCAGTTTTCAGTTCTCCTATTTGAAAACAGTGAAGGGTAATTAATTTCGTCCTTGTTCCATTGCCTTCCCATGTATTTACCTATGTGTTTTATCCCGTTGGACGCTTTCGAAGATTTGAGGGGAGTTGTAAGTGTGTAAGGTCGATCACTAATGCTATCCACACCATCGGTCTCTCCAGAGTGTGGAGAGGTCGTATGTCTGGATTTTAACGGACACTGCTACGAAATGACATGGAATGTACAGGGGGAGGAGGACACTCACACTCAAATGGATGTGACCTCTTTGCTAAATTAGAATCGAGTGCTTCCAACTTGAAATTGAAGAGCATTTTTCACTTCTATAAAAAATCTTCATAGTGGCCACCACGTGGACGGCATCAGAAAAATTTGCCCTGGAAACATGGTGCACTGGTCGAGCTCAATGGGGTCTTCGAAGGATCGTGTACCATAACGACGTTTTCTGAAAAGCGTTTTGAGGAGTTTGCATAGTCAGAGCTAATGTCTCTAGGAAACTATTCAACATTGAATCGATTCAGAAATTATGTAAGAGCTTCAGGCTGAAGCAACTTACGGTAGTTCTCCTTGAGCTATACGACGATGGCAAATGACGTCATGTTCTAAAGACTGTGAGGGCAGTGAAGGAGAGCTGAATAAGTCGCTGAAGTGCAGCATGGGCAAGATGCCTTTTTCAGCCTTCCCTGTATGTTCAGTACAGAATTTTGCTGAATGTGGCCGTCCTTATTGAGAGCCAGAAATATAATACGGCGCTCAGGGAGTGGTATCTCAAAAGCGGAAAGCTCAATGCGATTTAGTTTTTCTAAGCTGTAAAGCTTGTGAAGAATAATGCTAGCTATCAAAAAACCTTCTACAGAACTATTACCGAACTAATTTTGAAAAGTTTTCGAAAGTTGAAATTGAAAATCATTTGAAATATCGTTCTGCAATGGCCTCCCACAAAATGTGGAATCTCGATTTGCTTCCTTTTGTCACTTCCGTAGATCCTACAAAAAAAGGAGGCACTGGTGAAGGGAGATTCGGCGGGTCTAGGACTGGCGTTTGATGCGTGACGTTAAGGCGGGAGAGAGTTGTTAGAGCGTAAAAGAGGACCCTATACCCGCCGCCGTCCAGTTGGTTTTTCATTTTACACTTGAGTTCCTCCGCCTCCAAAGCTCAGCCTCAGGATTCCTGTACACCACACCATGCCCCTTCAAGTGCAGTGACACTCTCAAGTAATAAATGGCATCACAAAAAACACGAAAACAAAACGATCATCACATGTAATAAACTGCGTAGTATATTTTAGAGCAAATTAATGCGTATGCTCTTATCAAAAACTGCGTATGATCTACAAAGCTCTAGAACACCTTCCTTTTGGCTTCACTTCGGCCTTATTTTCTCGCTAGAGCCTGAAATTGAGTATTAATTTTTCTGATCTCTTTTGATTCATTTGTAAAATATGAAGGTGTTTGTTGTGTTTCAAAGGAGTGGGAATGTATGCATAGAGGAGTCGTTCCCCCCTCCCAAGGACACGAGCGCCCTTTTTCTGCATGGTTGGCGACTGCAAAGTACGGATTTTTTTCGTTGTGAGACTCAAGATCCGGGGTATTCATTTTTTTCGCTTTTTTCACTTACGACTCGTTCGCGGGCGAGACTGTTCACCTAGCGCTTATATTTCGAAATAAGTCATTTCCCAATAGTTGTTGCACGTGTTAAACTAGAAAAAATATTTCTCATAGGCCCAGCTCAATATACGAGAAGTACAGAGCTTGTGCTTAACAGTATAAATTTGAATTTAAAAGAATCTTCCACGGAAAAAGCTCCGCCCTCATTACCACAGAAAACGATAACCTTAAAGGAAAGTGATCATTTTGTCTTGTGTGTATAAGGATTAGTATTATCGAAACTAACGCTTATGTTCCGTTCTTTTTGCTATGCTCATGAGGCTAGGGGCCTAAGGGTATCGTTTTTCTGTGGTAATGGAGGCGGAGCTTTTTCCGCGGAAGATTCCTTTAAACTAACAATTTCAAGTTTAGACGGGTAATGATCGCGGCTTCGGACTCGGCTGTTCCATGTGCTATGATGATGGATATTGCAAAATCGCTCTCACCCTATTATATGTATAAACGAGTCGCACAGGTGTGTGAATTTTTTTAAGAGTTGGGTGGAAGGAGCAACCACTCGATTATTCTTTGCGTTTCCAACGATAATCGAAAAATTCTGGAAAAAAGCGTTGATAATGCCAAGGAGAGGAGCGCTGATAAAAACTGGCTGAATTGAAGTGCACTTCTCTGTGAGGAGTAGTGTAATATCCTACATCCCGCGCATTCAACCCAGGTCCAATCCCTCATTTCGTGCATAGTCAATGGTTCTCCCAGACCCACGACATTGATCAAATGAGGCTATTGCGAGCGCTTTGTAGATCTTTTAAAGGCAAAAGTCGGGCTCAATAAGGGGGTATTATGGCGATTGAAACTGAGTATAGAGATGCGAAGTGGAACGACAGTGGAGAAAAAACTGAGAAAAACCGTCGACAAGGCCGTTAACAAAACCCTCTTTCCCACTAGCAGTGAAGGAAGGCTGGCTTGGGAAAGAGGCACGTACAAACAAGTTTTCTGGAGATGTCAGTCGTTCTATCGGTTGATACGGCAATCAACCTAGCTGATTTCACACGTTATGCCAGCCACGCACCACTTCCGGAGGTGGGCGGTCCTGGATTGACCAGGCGGCCCTGGATTGAAACCGAACGCCCCGGGGCCTTAACGGGGTTTTTCAAGGTGGGAAGTTGCTGCAATGTGTGCAGCTACCCACATACAACCTCCAGGCACGGGAATTACTTCTCTAGCGTGCCTGAGCCCGACCTTTGCCTTTAAGTCGCAACAGGACATGTTCCCTGTTGTTAAGGGTCATGCTATTCCATTGAGTGGGAAGAATTTCTTTAGGAACCTAATCGTGACCCGTGTTTTAGATGAATGGTTCCCAGAGAAATCTTGCATTCTTTTCCAACTTTCATATGTCATTTGAAACACTAGAGACAACATTACAAAGTTTCGCGCCACAAGAGACTTTATTTCTGCAGAGAAAGAACTTTCAAACCCACACTGCTCTGGAAACAACCTATCTGAAGGTAAAGTGGCACGTGAAAAGAAGTCCGTTTTGGGGCGGGGTACGTATCAGGCGATACAATGAAAGAATCGAGCTAAAGCGTGCGATTTTGGAGAGTAGAGACAAATCGATCGACAGGATAGGGTGTCATAGAAGTGTAAGATGTTAATGGCAGTGAACGGCACTTCCGTGACCAAAAGTGAATCCTTTCCCCGTCGTCAGATTGTGTGACAGATGTCCGGCGGTGGAATTCGAGCAGCCCTTTCGGTTTCTCGACTTTTTTTTTTCCAAAGTGTGCAATTTTTTTTCTGTTCTTTTCGTTCTTATCGTGAACGATGGCAAGCCAATGAATGATATGGGTGAGATGGAATCACGATTTTCCTTGGAATGA